CAACACTTCTTTTTTAGTGCACTTATGCTAGGTTTATGTGGAAGGCTATTCATATGGTGCTAGGTCTAAAACCACCCCTAAATGTCGAAAACTTATCTAAGAATTGGTATTCTAGACGCGATAAGACCTTTTAGATCCTTTCACTGACAGGGGGGCACAATGGTTTGTTGTTTATTTGGCTAACAAAGGAATGACATGAGGTTTTGACAAATATCACTCTTTTACAGATTCAATTTAGGGGAATACATTGACTCGGGTTTTGGGTCCAATTGCAACGATGTGAGGTGCAAAAGGAGCTAGGGATGGAAACTTGCCGCAATAAGAGAATGCGTGGAACTTCATTTTTGTATTCTTGTAATGGGACTCAAGAGAGGTGTGCTATTAGGACTTGAGTGTAGAATCCTACTAGGAGTAGGGATCCTATTTGAATATATGGGGGCCTTGGAGAGGACTATATAAACAAGGGGCGGAGGCAATAGGCATCAACCAAGCCAACACAAGGGTCTCATCCAAGGCTTGTAAGGAGCGATTGGGAGCGCTCAAGAGAGTTATGCTAGACAATTTTATTGTACTAGATCCTTGTAAAGTGCAAGAATTAAAGGGTCCTACAGGGTCAAGTAGATGGTTATGAGAGAGCAACAATCACTGTACACTTTTGGAGTTATGCATATAGAATTTGGGGTCGATTTTGCCAAATCTTAATCTCTTGTTGTGTTTGCTTCAACGTCATCATCTAGGATTTCCTACGAGATTCGTCTGCATTGTCTTGATATGCTGCAAGCTTTGTGGTGTACTCATCGTATCCTTTCAAAGATCCGAGAGTTGCTGCGCAAACCAAGGGTATCAAATTTTAACACTAACTTCATGGCCCGTAAAGTCATATTTTATCATGTAATTTCCTAGCACATGTGCTCAGTTGAAATCTAAAGTTTTTATTAAGCACATGCTTAAAATTATGTTTTGGTTTAAAATTAACTTTTAAAGTGCTTAAAATTTCATGAATGTTAAATATTCTTTTTATGCATTGTCTCAATGATTTAGAGTTTTTATGCTATTTTTTGTGGGTACAATTACAAATATTCTTTTTTGGATGTTCTCTGGAACCACCACAACGTTCTACCTATTGATGATCCTATGACTTCTTCTTCCACTAGTGTATTATCTTGTGGTGTTGCTTTTGCTCTATTTCATCTTTATAACCACTTATTATTCATGTGGTGATGTTTAATATTTATCGGTCCATCCATTGTATTAATATTTTGATTGCATAAGGATTTTACTGTATTTTTTCACTTGTTACATTCGTGGTTTGCTCCCGTACATACTTCTCTTCACTCCCATTAATGTTAGTAGGCTGTGAAGGACCAAAACGACAACCAGTGGGGTGTGTGTGGGGGAGGGGTAAATGGAGGCTAATTAAAACTATTCATCGAGAGAGAGAACTTGACCTATATCCCAATTCGACACACACACACACTTCTCTTTTTGCTTTCACCAAGATCAAGTATCAATAGCGTGTCTACTGACCTTAGAAATGGATCTACAAAGGTGCGAAAGCAAAATGAGCAAAAATGGAGAAAAACTCAAAATCACAGTTCAAACTAGATCCCCTGGTATGCAAACCAGATGCCTGGGTATGCATTTTTTAACAAAGAGATTTTGAATAAAGATACAAAACCCATTCAAATGAACTCTAAGAAATCTAAAACTTTGCACAGACCTTGACTAACCCATTTAGAAGTTGTCCCTAAGATATCAAGTCACAAAGATGAAATCTTGAATGGGAAATGCAAAATCCCTCTTTCAAAATGGGGTTTTGCAAGAAACCTTAAAATGAGGATTTCTAGGTGCTCATGGAAAATCTATTAGAGGCAAAGCCTAGACATATTCTCAAGACCTTATAGCACCTATCAAAGGACCAATACAAGCACCAAAAGCTTAGCTCAAAGAATTCTCAAGAAAATCACCAAAAGAGCAAGATGACAAGAGTTTTGGGGCTTGGAACCAAGGGATTAGAAGATGAGATTCAAGACATGAATTGGATAGGTTCCAAAGGTCCCAAATACTTCAGAAAACGTGCCAAAATCTCAGCCAAACCAGCAGCAAGAAAAACTCCCAAAAATGACCATGAAAGTCGACAAAAAGGAGAAACTTGGAGAAGGAAGGATGATCTCGATTTTTAGCAAACACTTCGATTACCAAACCATGAATTCATCTATAGATGAGTCTAGCCTCGTCCCAAACATTCTCGCACTTCAGATGAGACACTAACCTAAGAGGAAACACCCCTCTATAGCATAATCTTTGTTAAACATGAAGCACTTGGTTAACCCTAAGGATATAAACATGGGGGTGGAAGAGATAGCTACCTTGGGCTGCCACTTCCGTTATTTATAGGGCTATTACACATTTCCAAGATGCCCCTATGTTTAGACTTGAACCACTCAACCCCCAGGGGCGAAATGGTGTCCAATTTGTCTTTCGTGCATCGGACGGCCAAAAGCCCTTCATGAAATCGTTTCACTCGACGCAAGCTCTCCAATAACGTCACATGTCACCTTGAGATCCTCCCATAAATTTTGAGGCCCAAATCTGAAAACCACAACACATGCAGTTTTGAGGCCAAAATCGTCAAACCCTCTGGGCCTCGTAGCCGCTACGCAAAGCCTCATATGTTTGACATGTGCCCTCTATGCATGTATTAGATCGAGTTCAGGGTGCTCACATGCATGGTATGCTCGCAATTCACAGACCATCAACATGCACTTCTCATTAGATATGTGTGCAATTTTAAATAAATACAGTCCTGCTGGGCAAGGCATTGGGTATATATAGAAACTATAGATATACTACTACTCCATCTGGCTAGAGATCTGCCTTGATTGGATGATTAGATCTGAAATATCGTGGCGGCTACACTAATAATCAGCTAGGACAAATACTGAACAGTGAAAAGCAGCATGCTATCAATTATTAATTGCATCAGCTGAGCAGCACTTCTATTCACTACTACAAAAAATAATTTGTGGCAACGCCTCCCTTTCTTTATAGGGGCGGCTCTATATTGAGCCGTCCCTATAAATGGTTGCCAAATGAGCCGCCCTTACAAATAGATTTGTAGGGGGGGCGGTGTTATCAGCCGCCCCTACAAATTAGGGGCGGCTCTATATCCAGCCGCCCCTACAAATCATATTTGTAGGGGCGGCTCAATATTGAACAACACCTATAAATAAACACCGAGTATTAAAAATTAAGCACTAAAATTCAAATTCTGTAAACGACTTCGGATGGAGAAACAACCAAAATGAAAGTTGTAGATCTCTAAAAGTTATGAAACTTTATAGTTGGTAACTTTTTTGATTTGAAATCATCTTATCAAGGAAAACTACGTTTGAATTTTCAAAAAATTAAAATGATAATTTTTTAAACGACCTCGGATGTACAAACAGTAAAAAAATAAAAGTTGTAGATCTTGAAAAGTTATAAAACTTTGTAGTTGATAACTTTCTCATTTGAAATCATCTTGTCATGGAAAACTACGTTCGAATTTCTTAAATTTAAAATTCAAATTTTATAAGTGACCTCGGATGGAGAAACAACCAAAATAAAAGTTGTAGACCTCAAAAAGTTATGAAACTTTGTAGTTGACAACTTTTTTATTTGAAATCATTTTTTCAAGAAAAACTACGTTTGAATTTCTAAAAAATTAAAATTTTAATTTTTTAAACGACCTCGGATGGACAAATAGTAAAAATGAAAGTTGTAAATCTTGAAAAGTTATGAAACTTTGTAGTTGATAACTTTCTCATTTGAAATCATCTTGTCATAGAAAACTATGTTCGAATTTCTCAAATTTGAAATTCAAATTTTATAAGTGACTTCGGATGGAGAAACTACCAAAATGAAAGTTGTAGATCTCGAAAGGTTATAAAACTTTGTAGTTGATAATTTTTTTCATTTGAATTAGTTTATGGCATCAAACAATCAATTTATGCTCAGTTTTGTATAATATGTGGGAAACCAAAATGAAATGGAGACACAAGTGATCGTGAGGTGCAGTGGTATAGGAGTTTGTGCGCGAGGGAGAGGTTGCGGGTTCGAATCCCGGTAGACGCAAAGTGTGCAAAAATCGTGAAAAAATGCTACAACCATAGAGTGGGTGTGTGGCTACCGGTGGGGACCTTCTCAAATTAAAAAATTTGTTATTTTTTTGCCCTTTTTCATGATTTCTGAAAATTGATTTGTAGAGACGGCTCAATATACAGCCGCCCCTACAAATCGATTTATAGGAACGACCCCTATAAATCGATTTGTATTGTAGAGGCGCTTGGGTAGGGGCGGCTGGGCAAACCACCCTACGAAGCCTCTAGAGCCGCCCCCTACAAATACTATATGACGCAAAGTGTGCAAAAATCGTGAAAAAATATTGTAACCATAGAATGGGTGTGTGGCTGTCGGTGGGGACCTTCTCGAATTAAAAAAATTGCTATTTTTTGTCCCTTTTTTCATGATTTCTTAAAATTGATTCATAGAGACAGCTCAATATATAGCCGTCTCTACAAATCGATTTGTAGAGACGCTTAGTAGTGACGGCTGGGCAAACCGTGCTACGAAGCTTCTAGAGCCGCCTTACGAATACTATATGACGTAATGATTTTCACAACGTGCTCGTCAAAGTCGCGTCCCATTGACATATCGAGCTGTACCATAATAGTCTAGTCTCTGTACCAAACTATCTGATACTGATATACCCATCAACCTCCTTCGTCCTTCCTCCCCTCCCATGGTGCCATGGCGGGGTTGGGGTTGACCATTACCGTCGTGTTTGTTATCCAATATTTCCATCGGCTACACGGATGGTTAAGTCATCTATCCCGCGTTCCATCATGTAATATACGTCTATACTATAAATCTCTCTGTCGCCTGGTCCAAGCTTCTTCCACTCGATCACAAGCTAAGTTAAGCTTGGCGAGTACTTCCAGACATATACATCACGAGCCATGGACGATGGCGCCGGAGCAAACCGCAGCGACGGGGAGGGATCGCCGCGGCTGCCGGCGGAGCGGCGCTACAAGGGCGTGCGCTTCCGGAAATGGGGCCGGTGGGTGTCGGAGATCCGGATGCCCAACAGCCGCGAGAGGATCTGGTTGGGCTCCTACTCGTCAGCGGAGAAGGCGGCGCGGGCGTTCGACGCCGCCGCCGTCTGCCTCCGCGGCTCCCGGGCCGGGTCGCTCAACTTCCCCGAGTCCCCGCCCAACGTCCGGCACATCCCCGGCGCGCTGCTGACGCCTGAGCAGATCCAGGCAGAAGCTGCAAGGCACGCTAACCAGCTGCTGCCTAGTCCGCCGGTTGCGTCGCCGGCGTCGGCGTCGTCGCAGCCAGCCGCAGCTGCGCCGCCCGCGGGAGGAGCAAGCAGTGACAGGACGACCTTGTCAATGCCGTCCAGTTACTACAGTAGTGGAGCTGCCGTCTGCGGTGACGACGAGGTGCTTGATTGGTCTTTCATGGATGCATTGCCATCGTCGATGCCGGCGTCTTCAGTGGTGATGGGGAACAGTGCTGATATTGTTCCGGCCTTGGATGATTTCATGTACGGGTCCCCTAACCAGGTTATGCCGCCGAGTGAAGAGGCCACACAGGATATGATTCACAGTGACGATGATCATACATTCATCTCAGACGACCTCTGGCGATTCTGATGAATGAAGGTAAAAAGGAAAATAAAGAGCTATGAGAAAGTAACCCGGATGAACGGAGTTGTACTTTATGATGACTCTACCGTCCGTACCATATACCCTGCACCGAGAGGCGAGAGGTGTTTTTTTAATTCAGAAAGTAGTTGTATTATATACTTAGTACAGGGCTCGAACTAACGCCACGGCTTCGTTCTATAGATGCCCTTGAAAGCAACCATTTTCAACCAAACGACGATATTTTTTTTTCATAGTTTTAGTGTCACGCAATTGTATACAACCATGTATATGATCCAGAATATACTCATGCATAATAAGGCATAATAAAGTCATATCTCGCATACTAAACATTTGACGACTATTTCAGCCTTCAATGTAGTCTCCCAGGTAGCTCAGACAGTCTTCCGTCGATTCCGTCAATGGTGACAAAGACCAAGCTTGGAGCTGCAGGCAAATGGACATAGTTCAACCATACAGGAAGTATTATAGCTGAATGAAACAATTCACCAAATTACAGAAACATTTAGCCAGCTATAAAAATAAATTCTCAATTCTATCTACCTGACTCTTGGTGCAAGAAAAAAAAAGCAAAACAGAGATAGTTCTCATGGCTGTATACATGTTTAGGTCATTTCAATATTTCATATAATTAATGGCTTGTACAGAGAAAAACTTCATGCCTTCTCCAATGCCCCTAAACTGGCTGTGATCCAATACATCACAATTCAATCCAGCAACATGTAGGTTGCATCAATGCGAAGCTAAGGCTTACTCAACTTTGTAGAGCTAATATTGTCAAAACCATAGCCTGCTGCAGCCATCTAATTTAAGAAATGACAGAGATTGTTTCTCTGAAACAAACCTAATAGCTCATCCCTGCATACGACATCAACCGCAAGTTAGATACCCCGAACAGCAAACTTAATTTCACAAAAAAAAATCTAATACAAGGTGTGTATGGGTTACTCAGTTAGTACTTGTAACCTGACTCTTGCTGCAAGAAACAAAGCAAAATAGAGATAGTTCTCATGGCTGTTTACATGTTTGGAAAATATTACTTACCACTCATCACCAGTTCAACACATCTTTAAATACAATATTCTTGGTGGTCTTCCCTATAGTATCTAGTTCCTTGTTTGGTTTTGACAAAATTCTGGTTGTTTGCCTTGAAACTCCCCTTGACAAAGCAACATAAAGTTGTCCATGTGAGAACACGGGTTTTGGAAGGTAGATCCCAACATTTGGAATGGTCTGCCCCTGTGCTTTGTTGATGGTCATTGCAAAGCTTAATTAGGCGAATCAGGAACTGTTTCCTTCTCATTTTGAAAGGCAGTGAAATATCATCGGACGGAGACATTGGAATCCTAGGTAGGAACACCCTTCTGCCTACATAATGCCCACCAACAATTTCAGCATCAATTGTGTTGTCCTGGAAGGCTCTAATTCCATTGCACAATCCATTGTTTGGATCAAGATTGAGGAGAAGGATCACAGGGCAGTTGATTTTTACTTTGAGCACATGCGGTGGGAGACCATTTGGAGTGGAGTTTAGGAAGTCCATAGGGTAGTTGTTTATTGAATCATCATCGATAGAGTCAAAGCTATGGTAAACTTTTTCCTCACCTGGAAACCTGTCAATCATCTTCTCATTTAGCTGATCCACATGTTCATTTTTGGTAGAAAGGATGGCATGTGTGCTCATATAAGCTGTTGATCTTGCATTGTCTTCAAGTGATGGGAACACATGTTGGATTAGCTTGTTTACACAATCATCTGTATCTGTATAACCAATCACAATATCTTCTGGCAAGTGAACATAATCATTGGCAATTGTCTCTTCAGTCCCATTCCCAATTCGAAGGAGGTAATCTGAGAACCATGGGTCAGATTGAGCCCTCATGTTATGTGTCAACCGTATCTTTCTGATACTATCCCACAAATAAGATCTTTGGAATGTAGCATCTGTCACCTGTGCTCTGGTCCCACGTGTTACCACTGGAAGAACTGTCTAAAATCTCCACCAAATACCATGACCTTCCCTCCAAATGGCAATTCACAATTTATAATATCTTGCAGCGACCTATCAAGACACTCAACCGCTAGACAATTTGTCATAGCAACCTCATCCCAGATTAGGAAAGATGCCCTATGGAGTAACTCTACAGTCCCACCTTGCTTTGTGAGTTGCACATGCTATTGCTCGCAAGCTTTATAGGGATTTTGAACATTGAGTGTGCCGTGCGACCACCAGGCAGTATCGACGCTGCTATACCAGAGGTTGCGGTTGCAATGGCAATCAGTCCCTCAGAATGCACTCTAGCAAGAAGTGCCATGTATAGGAATGTCTTTCCTGTTCCTCCTGGACCATCAACAAAGAACACTTGGTTTTTTTATCCAGTACATGATCCATAATCTCATCAAATCCAGCACGTTGTTCCTTGTTAAGACTTCCTTTTATTTCTAAATGTTCCTCGTCGACCCCCACCGAAAGTTCTTCTCTGACCTCCCTCAGTATGTCATTGGAAAATTCAGCTGTTTGACAAGAAAAATTAGATATCAATATACTTTTTCTATTTGTAAGATCAGTACACAATGTTGTGACAAATTGTTACCTGTATCATTCAGCTCCGGAAGATCATAGTTTTTTATATCTTTTCCCATGGATTGGAGCAAATCCCTAATATCTCTAAGCACCATTTGTTCTACTATTTTTGAGTTACACTGGTTCCTGCTGTAATCTTTAGACATTGATTCTTTATGCTTCTCCTACAGTGCATGAATTTTGGTGGCCTCACAATGAACCAGAATAGTAGCAAATAACCTTCTGAGAGCATATGGCATCTGAAAGGTGGCTGACTCACACAAGCAGTCATCAATTGTCTTATCCATCTCTACGAGTCCTCTCTTCTCACATGATTCTCTAAAAGTAGGACATATGATTCCTGCTACGGTTTTCAGATCCTCAAATGATGTTGGACCCCTAACATGATTTAGAAGCACTCTCAAAAAATACCTCTCGCCTTCAGCAAGGTACGCATACCCTATCCGCCCAATCTGTCCTCCTTTCTTTCTTCTTTGCCATACCTTTTTGCCACTGATCCACCGGTAGTACTCTGGCATCTCTCTGTACAATAATTTTCTTGCAAAACTGTCCACACGGCTAACCTTGAAAAAATTTGTCAATGTAGTCATAGAAGATTTGGGATTGTTCACTACTTCTTCTAAATTCTTTGTCTCATCAATAATAACAGACTGTATGTTTGGCAGATGACATTGGAGCTACAAAACAGATGGGTATACCCCCAAAAAGATGGAAACCGAAAATTCTGTGTACAGCTTCCGACGGTGAGATGTGTCTAGCATCCCTATACTGACGAATCTCATTTATTACCCCAGCATCAACGACTGAGAATGATGCACAATCGTGGCCTTTGTATACATATTTAAATAAATACTTACAGGCTTTGATGCTTGAACATGCTTTAACGTTGATGTGACAGTTATATCTCATAAGCAGGCCAGGATTGTACGGGACAACCCACCTATTGTCCAACTCAGCCCCTCTTATCTTGACACGCTGGCCATCATCTCTTCTCCTATACAAAGGATAAGAATCTTTGCTTTGTTGTGTTTCTGGGTTGAATTGCCGAGGATAGCGAAAGCGACACTCTCCATCGATCATACATAGACACTTCCTGTTCAAGGCACCACATGGTCCATGGAGCATATGCTTAATGACTAGGTTACACAACATAGGGTACTTGTCCTTGTCAGGAATCTCTGCTGAGATGTATCTGTCATATTCATCTGGGTTTGATAACTTACATCCTCTTTTCATATCAATAGGATGTGCTCATGTGGCAAGCCCCTTTTCTGAAACTCAGTCACATGCACATATGCTGCAACCTCACCAAAATATTTCTTCTTTATCAATAAATCCTTGACCGAGCGTAATTTGGCTCGTTATACTCTTGACACTAGATCCGGCCGATCCTGGGGCGTTTGGCCAGGTTCAAGATTGCTTGTGACCTCCTCCCAATAGGGGTTGCAAGTCATTGTGATGAAGTAATCTGGCTTCCCGAAACACTGGACAATGGCCATTGCATTAAGAAATCTTTGTTGCATATCGCGATCACCACCCGGAAAAGAACGGGGCAACACAACTCTCTTTCCAACCTCTGAAGCTCTAGTCTCTCTAGCAGAAACTACATCAACCAAGCCCTATGCCACACATAAGAATATATTTGCATAATGAGTGAAATAGCTATTATCCATGTTCATTGAAATATCAAGAGATTTAGAAGTACTCACCTAGTACAGTTCAACCCTTATGAGTTTTTGGTTTTCAGGGTTAGAATACCAGTCAAGCCTCGTGGACTCAATCTTTATATACATGTCGATGGCCCATTGCTAGAAAAGCCTCCCTCCAAATAACAGGATGTTGAAAAGACTCTTTCTAACTTGCATCATAAAGCAATAGTATTCTCTTGCTGTCACACACCTTGATTTACTTGTTTCTGCAACTCTACTCATGTAATCACCTTACTGTATGTCATCGTCTGTTTCACCATCATCTGCATGAATATGGAAATACATTATTTATTATTATATATATATTTGTATACATAGTAGGATGAAGTATGTTGCCATACACAGTGGTTGCTGTACTGAATACTCACCATCAGTAGCAGACGTCGATTCTTTGGGAGTGTCATTGTATGGCATGAACGTATTCCATCCAGTTTCTCCTCTAGCATTTAACAAAGGATATGCCAATGGGTCATAACAACCATGATATGCCTTGATATAGCGCATCGTCTCTCCTTCGGGGTATACAATAACACTCCTATCAAAACATCTTTGGGGTCATCTCCATTGGTCCAGATAGTAGCAACTTGTGAGGCAGCAGGGGCATTATACCTGTTATGCACGAATTAAATAAAGAGGAAGTAGTATATTCGCTGGTTATTAATTTTTTTTAAAAATGGCGAGTAATGGAGAAGAGG